CGTGATTTATTTCAAATTCACTTCTGAAGAACACATCCCTTTTTATAAATAATTTCGGCAAACTAATGACCACGCGGATCTCTTAGAATGGTCCTCCGGACGTGCACGACACGTTGTTTTGCCGGAGCGAGTGGAAGAAATGAGTGGTCCGCAGAATCAAGATTTTCATCGTATTATCGAATCTTCTTCGACAGTCGGAATGTGAACAAACTGTGAACATTTGGTCAGGTGAAAAAATACTATCAACAGTGATGTGTTATCAGGTTAATACTTGGTCAGAAAATAATCCAAACGTGACTAGATAACTGAAATGCAGAGTGAAAAAATCAGTTCTCATACTGGTTCAAATCGGAAGGAAAATAATGTGAGCTATTGAAAATGAGAAATATCACGCAGCAGTCGATACGCTGCTGCTTATGATGAATTCTGCTTTTTTCAACTGATTGTTTTAAGCTGCATAAGTCTACTCAATTATCAGGATGTTTCCAACCCCATCCACTAATGATGATAATAAGAAGACAGGGTGAGTTGATATTCATCAAAATAATTGAAGAGCTCAAAACAAAGCGGGGAGGAGAATGATAGCATCAGCAGAATTCAAACACAAGACCACCGCGTCGATTCGATGAACACACGGCCCCGCAGCCGCAGTCAACGCCATTTTAAAGTAAAATCACTCTACTAGGATTCTCATGCATGCATGAATGCATGTGAAAGCATATCCGACCAAACAGTACATAACGGATTATGTATAACGCAGAAAATGTTTACGTGGTGGTACATTTATATGAAGTAAGTAGGAAAACCTCACGAAAAATCGAACCATATCACCAATTTCATGACTTCTGAGTGGATTCATGATTGGGCACACTGCCTGGTTAAGGTTCGATACTTTCAAGGACAGTGACTTAGGCCCGCGTGTATGGTCCAGTTTTTCCCGTGAACAGACGTGTGGCGATCCTAGCCTACAGGATGACGCCAGCCATGGAGCGATGCGTTACAGTTTGTGGACAACTGTGGTAAGCCAACGTTACCAGATGATGCCAGCCAAGCGCCTACACGTTTCACTGTCTGGAAAACGAACCACAGACTGATCATGTCTACCAATCAGAAGTCAGACGGTCCATACAGCTGTATGACATCAAGAATACAAGTAGGCGATTGGTGTATACCTGTATAGCCAATAAACATCTTCTGTATATGCTGTTTAATCCCATTTCTTTCTTTCAGTAAACGAACTGCTACATCAGGGTGGAGGGGATGTGCATGCACACAATTCAATGTGTAGAGGATGGGTGCAATCGGAGAGGATATTGTCAGCAAACTTCAAGCACGCATCAATATGGACATTACACATATTGCCAATCATAACATAACGGAACTTGGGTGACACGGCTGATCATTGAGAGGCCACGCCTCAGCAACTTGAAATCAGCCTTCAGTAAACCGGGGAAAATTACAAGAGAACAGTACAGGGGTATAGGGAGGACACATTGTTGAACGAAAGCGTTTATCACCGACGAGTCAGAACAGAAGTGGTGCAGTTTTCTTATCTGAAAAGAGAGACTTTTCAACTTACGAGCAACACTTTAGGTATGTAAGGACCAGCGAAGGTTACGTTCAAGTGTGACACCTAAGTACTTCACATGGCTCACCATGCTCATCGGCTTTCCATGAATCTGTACATTGTCGGAGGGAGATGGGGTACGGTTTAGAGTAAAAATAAATTCAAGGCATTTTTCAGGTTTAAGATTGAGACCGGAAAAAGTGGAATATGAAACAAGGTGGGATAGGTTTGTGTTATATTCAACCAGTTCTGATTGGTTACATACGGAAACAGAAATGGTGATTTCATTGGCATACTTAAAACGTCGAACAGGGGGAGTAACAGGTAAGCCACTGATATAAGTCGAAAAAAGATAGTGTGACAGGACAGCACCTTGAAGTACACCCTAGCCATTTAGTGATGCGGTTGACTGTCTTCTTCCAAATTTGACATACTGATATCTTTGCAAAAAGTAATCAGCAAGCCATTCAAGAAGAAAAGGGGGACAGCCAACAGATCGGAGCTTGTTAAGTAAAAGAGAATGGGGCACCGAGTCAAAAGCGGAAGAATGGTCCAGAAATGCACAATGCATATATTTAGCTTTCTCGTTTAGGGACTTACAGATTAAATGAAATAGAGAAGAAACTGCATCTAATGTAGAGCGGTTATTTTTTTTTATGCGAACTGCTGTGTCATCGGGGGTGGTAAGGGATAACTGAGACGTGGGAAAACTGATCGCTCCATCAATTTCAAACCAATGGAAGTAAGAGCAGTTGGTCTGAAACGCTTCGCTACTGGGGCCTTTGACGTTCCTTTGGGGATGGGAGTAACTCTGACTGGGCGACAGCAGTCCGGAATAGTTCGGAGTTTGAGTGAAAGATTAGCTATGTGTGCAAAAATCTGAGACCGTGGCAGAGCACCGTGTTCAAAAAGGGTGGGACTTAAGTTGTCTGGACCAGGTGCGGTTGGCACCTTGAGAGAACACATGTGTTTATACATCTCACTAGAGGTGATGGGATCAAACGAAGGTTGGATGTTTGGAGAACTGGAATCAATATAACTGGGGTATGTGTCGGACGAAGTTTTTCAATACCAATAGAGGAACTGGAAGTCACTTTCTTCTGCCTGCAGAGTAGATTGATTCCACGCCACATGGATTTACAGTTATTCGTCCCAAAAAAACTGACTTGCATAAAGAGCTTCCAACCGTCTTATTTCACTCTTGATCAAAAACGATAATCTTTGCATTTCGGCCCTCCTGCCACATTTAAATGCACGTTCCTTGTTACGGCGAAGACGTTTAAGAAAAGGTGTTGATATTCTGCCATGTTGAAGGAACAAAGTTATCAAAGGACAGAATATGTCAAAAACATAGTTTACCACTTCTGTTAGAAAGGTTACATTGGACAAACAGGTTGCTTTTAAAGGAAAACAGTTGGTAACTACCTTAAGAGACTCTTTAGGCACGACAATATTGTCTGGGGAAAGATCTCGCTGATGGAACATGATATGTTTGGGTCGAGTAAAAGAAAAATTTCCTGAGTGTGAGTAAATCTTAGGCCTGACCAGGATCTGGTTGAAGTCACTGGTACCTAAGGCAGAGAACTGTTTGATGGAAAAGGTGTCAGCGTGGTTTGTGATTATGTGGTTTAGATGAGATTTTCCTCTAGTTGGTTCAATAATAAGATCACTGAGGTTTAGATACAATAATGAGTGCAGGGGAGCATGGTTAAAGTCACCAGCTATTAGGTGTAATCTGCCAGCAAGAGATGGGACAATAACCGGTAGGAAATCATCAAAAACTATGTTAATGTCTGACAGTGTATAAATTAGTGGTGGCAACAAAAGGAAATCGGGAGAATTTGGGGGTGACAGATGACAGCCAAGCAATCAAAGCCATTTTTTGAATACTTAAAAATTATTTCGGACTTACCACATCAGTTGGAATTAATGAAGGTAACCACACCGCCTCACTTCTTACACCGTTGTCTATCCTGTCTGAAGCAGATGAAATTCTCCAGTTGGACCACGGAATCGTCCACATCCTCATTGAGCGATGACTCCTGAAGATACAAGACACAAGAGGTGCGAAATTCCTTTCTCTGGAGTAGGCATGATAGGTCCGGAAGCTTCCTAAATACAGAGCGGACATTGTTACTCACAATGGTAGATACAGCCATC